TACTTTAAAATAGTTTAATTTGTTTATTTACCTTTTCTTGTAAACCTCGATTTTAATTGTATCCGCCATTTTTTCAACAAATTTCTTGTGTCAATGCGCGGCGTTCACTGAATCATGGGATGTTGTAAACATGCGGTGCAAGGTTAATCAAGGCATATAATAATTATTTATACCATGAAATGGTATAAATAATGAATTCCTATTACAAAAAAAATAATTTATTGTTAATTTAAAATCATTGCTAGGAGCCTCTAGTGTCCGTTTTTGGCATACCATTATGTGGACAGATGGACACATGTTCAATGGGTTATATCAGTGTTTCTCAACCTCTAACGAATTGTCGCCCCCTTCAATAAAACCGTTATCTATTATTGCCCCCTTCAAAATTCTGATGCCGAGGACCAAGACTAACGCCAAATTCATACTGCATTGAATAGACTCGTAACTAGTATAATGTTATTTGTTTAATTAATGTACAATATAATGAATAAAATATCTAATTATTCTTAATATAATGTTCTACTATATTGCCCAGAAAATTGTTTTTTGGCCCCCAAAATATAAATTATTACTAATCACCCCTCAACATGGAAAAACGCCCACATGGGGGCGATATCACCCCTGTTGAAAAACACTGGGTTATATAGATAGATAGTGAAATTCAAGAGTTAAGATTTGACAATGATAATTTATTTTTTTGAGATTAACTTAAAAATAAAACATAATCAAATCAGTTACGGTGGCGTAACTGGCAAGTGCACCGCATGGCAAGCGGAGGTTGCGGGTTTAGGCCCCGTCCTGGGCCAGTTCTTTTATTCCAGAAGGTTCTAAAATTAATTTAATAATTTATTTATTTAATTTTAATTATTAATTTACTTAAGAGATGGCGCCTAACGCCTACCTCTAATGACAAATTACAGTAGAACCTCCATTATCCGGATTGTTCAAAATAAACAAAAATTTTACGAATTTGCTGATTTGCACTTGGTGAATCACGTACACTGTTTATGTACGTGATGGAATGCATAACTTTTTTGTTTCAACAACGTCTCACCCAGCACAGTGGTCGTAAACTCTTAAATATATTTTATGTAGTAATAAAAATATAACTTGACATACGTATTTATAAATAATTTATATTCAAATTACATCATTTCTATGACCAAGGGCGGCGTAAGGCATGGACGACGTGGGCCACCGCCTATGCCTCGCGGTCCGAAGGGCCTCGCGCCTCGAAGGTTTATGCATTACTTAAAAGCCGCGAACGCGACGAAAAAATTTTACTCGTCATAAAACGATAAATAGTTTGTCAAATTTTTATTCATAAAAATGCAGTTTCAACTGCTTTTTATTTTATAAAATCCGTCTTCTTGCGCCACCAGAGGGCCTTTTAAACAATAGGTAGTCTGTTAGCGTTGGTCAGTAGTAGTCCAAATTCAATACGAACGTTTGTTTCTTGAAAATTTGATCACGATTTAAATACAGTATTTACTTTTAATATTACCGATATGTCATCGAAAAGAAAACGTGTTGTATTATCATTAAAAGACAAATTAAAGTATTTGTTTCGATTATCCGGATTTTTCGTTATCCGGACTACCTTCATCCCCAATTAGTTCGGATAATCGAGGTTCTACTGTACTTTATTCTAATCATTTAATTAGCTATATAATAGCCCGATATTTAGGTGATCGTTTGGCAATTTATTACATAATCAAATTATTTTAAAATTCAGATTAAATGCTTATAATTATAAATTTATTATCTAAATTTATAAACATATATGTTTTATATAACTTATCTTTTAGTTTTAATATGTAAAATTATATAATAATTTATATGAAAGATGTGTCAATAGGCTACTACATAAAGAATTCTGTTTGGAATACTTCTACACAATCTATTTTAAATATACTTCAATACAAGTGTATGTGCATTATCTATAATTAAAGGAAAAACAAATAGTTTATTGGGGGTAGTATAGAAAGTAGTTTAAAACCAGAATGCCAAAATCTCAAAAAGAAAATGTAATATACATACATACATAACACCATAAAGAAAAGTATATTATTATGTGGAGCCAAAATGCAGAGAATATCAAAAACAAATGAAGGTCAAGTGCAGTTGAAATGGATGCACTGACAAGATCATACAGAATATTATGCATGGTCAAAATAAAAACTAACAAAGAAAAGAGAGAGAGAATGAAAATAGAGAAATTGGTTATTGGTGAAATGAAAAAGCAGTTAATATGGTATACTTATGAGAACTACAGAATACAAATTGCTAAGACTAGTCACGGAACAGAAATCACAAAAGGACAGTAGGCTGAGGAAGACCTAGGGCTGTATTCTGGTCATCGTCTCTCACAAGCCAGTTGCTGATTGGCTAATAATTTATTTATATCTTGAGAGATCATCACGTCACTCTAAATGTGATTCTGGACAACTTTTTCTCTCTTTGCTTCTTTCGTTTATCAGAGATGAGCGGTTAGTTGTCTTCTGACAGGCCTGGGCCTTAGTCTCTAGTTTTTCATGTTACAACTCCCAATGTGTTGAAGGTGTCACGTGGTACCATCTCACACTCTGACATCAAATCGGTAGTCTTGAGTTATAACTCGTGCTTTCTCATCTCACCATGCAAGTTGTTACTCACATTGAGTCAAGCATGTGAGATTGCTACACGAAAGTGAAAATGGCTGACAGATATGCTATTCTGATCACAATTGAAGCGTTAGAAAGAGCTGAAAGAGTTGTTTAAGAAGGCAACAAATTTTTCGAACACAAGTAGATGCCATTTCTTTTCATGTCAATACTAATAAAAAGAAGTATCTAATTCATCGAAAAAGAGAATTAAAATGATAGTAAATTATATGTATAAATTAAGAGCATAGACACTATATTATTATTATTTATTAATCAGAACTACTAAGTTCAGATTAATAAATAATCTTAATAAACAAAACAATTTAAGAAATAGAACAAGGAAGAAAACTATATAAAGAAAGGATTAAATTAAAATACTTTTTCCATTACACAACAGATTTTTTAGCTCCAATATACAATTAATTTTTCAATTTTTGTGATAACTCAGGATGTATTTTCTTCATAATTTGAAGTTTAGACTATTTACAAAAAGTCAAACTTTTTGTAAATAGTCAAAACTTCAAATTATGAAGAAAATACATCCTGAGTTATCACAAAAATTGTAACTATATGCAAATAATGTAGATATTCGTAACTACCACTAGAGGGCCAGAAGCAGTTTAAAAAGGTGGATAAAAATGATAGAGTGAAGAATTTCTGTGTGTTTTTAATTGTAAAAGTGTCAGAAACCTACAATGAAAGGCTGACACTTGATCTTTTTTAACCTTGTGAGATTTTTTACCAATTTTTATCAGTGTTTAAGAAGAGTTCTTCAAAGCAATTTTTTAAGACTGTTACTTCTGTGGTAGTGTATAAGGGATAAAGATGGACTCAAAAGTTAATATTGACTTTTTGTAAATTGTCTAAACTTCAAATTATGAAATTAATTTTTCAGCTAATTCTCTCCACAAATCGAATTGTATTTTTTCTTGTAAATTCATTGTCGAATTTTTCCACTGTTCATTTTCTTATTATTTTCTATATATGTTACTAATACTTCTTTTTGTTCTGTTTGCTTATTTTTTAAAATAAAACATTTCAGGTTTCCATTTTGTTTATTGCTATAAGACAAAACTTTTAACTATACCACATATAAACTAGTTCATGTTGATTTGTTTGCAACTTGTTACAATTAAGTTCATTGGTTGAATCATTATAGTTGCAAACTCAGGTGCATTGTAAATAATCCTATCATGCTTAACGACACACGTAAACAAGTGAATATGATCTACTTCCACTCACCTTTAGAGTTCACTTGATGGGTCTAACTCTAGACTACTGATTATGTGAGTCATAGTAACACGAGTGAGTTCAATGACATCAATTCGAGGACAACATGAAAAACTTGAAACTTGAGGCCCTGTCATTTTTCACCTTGATTTTGTTATATTCAATATGGATGACTGGATGCTACTCATGCTGTACAGTTGTATTAGAGAACATTCTCTATCTCGGAAAAGAATATTTCGAGAGAGAAAATGCTTCTGATTTTTTCCAGTGCCTACTCAGAAATGCCACTGATTCCATTTTTTTTTAATTATCCTACATTAATTACTGAACTATTGAATATGATGTTAATCTTACTTAAATAGCTAAGGAAAAATTAGATGGTAATATTTTGAAAAATATCTAAGTATGCATGCTTTTTTAACTTCGGTTATTAAAATTTTTATTTGTTAAGAGACAAATTGACATTACAATCTAAAAACATTATAAAACAAAAAGCAAGTTTGTCAAACTTACATGCTTTCCTTGCCACATGATCTATGATTACGTACTCTGCATTTTCGAAGATTTTACAATTTCATTGGTTAAAATGTTGTGTGCGCAGATAACCCAAACATTTATAATCAACCTAGTAGTATCGTGACGTCATTGATGACAAAGACGAGATTGTTAAAAGTGACCAGAATAGCCACTGTTTCTGAGAGACAAATTTTGTCTCTTGTTTTGATGTCATTCGTCATTGAAAGAAGAGACGAAAGATAAGTGACTAGAATACTGCCCCTGGATCATTTTGCCTAGCTAGTGAAAATTTCTGGGGAGAACACTTAGTAACTTTTTTAGTAACATACTGAAAAGGATAATAAAATCATATATTACAAAATTAAATAAAATTGAAGAAATGCTTGTGACAATATGCTTCAGTATTAAAATTAGGACTACACTATTAAAACAACAAAAATTGGAATTAGTGCTTCTTTTGTTTTTAACATTTGAATTTCTTGGAAATTGGCTTTATAATAAAATATTTTGTTATAAACTATTTTATTGACAGAAAACAGTAGTGAATTACAGAATTATTTTAATATTTATAAGGAATTACTTTTGATCTGAATGGTTTTTATTTTTTAGGATGGAAACTTCTCTTCCCCAAGTACCAGAAAATCTATTGAAAAAACAAAAAAAGAGAGCAGAAATTAAAGCAAAAGCAATTCAGAATGCTATTAAACAACGAAAAGTAAGTTTTATCTTTTGTTTTCTGCATATTTGCAATTGATAAGATGCAATCTAAATATTCAAAACAACCTGTTTTCAAATGTGCATGTTTTAAAACTTTGATAATATAACTTTTTTATTTAAATGACCAAGGAAGATATAAATATCAACATTATTAGTTGTTTACATTTTGAAAGTTTCTTATCTTTCTTTGGCCCTTGTGCCATAAACTCCAACTCCAACCAACCATCTTTATAATTGGAAAACATTAGCTATTGGAGAAACAAATTTATTTGCCATACAAATGACATTCTGATAGCTTTAAAGTTAACAGAGAACTGCTGTATTAATGCATGTATAAGCCACACCCTATTTTAAAACAGTATATTTGGGAAAAAATAAAAATCTTAGAATTTCACCAAGGGACAAGAGTAGAGACATGGGTATACAGAAATATGACAACACTGCAAATTTTAAATGGGAATGAAGTAATGGTTAATGCTTATTGTTGAGTACTTGCTCATTGCATGCTAAATGTCAAGTAAGAGTGAGTTACGTGGTGGTAAGTTTAAAAATGTAAGTGGATGCACAAGAAAATGGAAGTTGAGCAGCAGGAAGGAAGTTTGACGTAGATGAAAAAACATTCAGTAATGGATTCACACAAATGACACTCTTGAGAAAACATCACAAAATTGGCAATTGTTTTATGGAAAAACAGTGAAATATTTTGACCTGGAAGGAAATCTGTTGTAATATATGTGTGAAATTTGTGAAGCCAAAAGGATTGCTCAAAATATGAAAATTTTCAAAAGCAAATTTAAGGGACGTTACAGCTGGGCAAGACATTTTATGGCACAACATGAGCTTGTGATTCAGTGTCAGACTTCAAAGACACAGTGGCTTTCTGACACCTGTAAAGAGAAGCTGCTTGCATTTCAGAAACATTTCCTCAGCTTAAGAAAGACACATGGCTAAAACTTAAGAGTAATAGGCAATGCTGACAAAACTCTTGTCTTCTTTGATATGCCAAGTAACACTACAGTCAATCAGGCAGGTGAAAAAAAAAAAAAAAAAAAAAAAAAACAGTTTTGGTGTGAACAGCAGGAGCAGAAATGCAGCATTGTATTTTAATGCTGTGCGTCGTTACTAACAGAAACAAACTACGACCTTATGTCATTTTTTAAGTATAAAACTATTGAAAGAAACACTGCTTCTGGGAATATTTGTATGAGTTCAAGATCAAGGCTGGACGACAGAAGAACTCTAGATGGACTGGCTGAAGTCAGTGTGGTTTCAGTATCCAGGTGCACTGTTACATTGGCAGTCCATATTGGTTGTTGACAGCTGATGGAAAGCATGAAAAGATGATGGTGGAAGAGAAAAGTAACATGCTTGTGATACCAGGAGGGATGACTGGAATGCTGCAACCACTTGGTATATCCAGTTCCAAAGACATTCCAAAATACCAAATAATAATCTCTGGTAAGATTCTGGCCATTTTGGACAAATTCTTTGTGCATGATACTCGGAATCATAAAAACAGATGAGCATGGTCTTGACCTGTGATTTTTGGAAACAAAGTTTATTTTGGTGTGGGCTCATCTGATGACTTTCACACAGAACTGACATTTTGTCAAACGGTCATCTTGGTAGCACCACATCTCATCACCTGTGACAATATTAGAGAGGTTGAGGCGCACGTTTTAAATGTGTAAACGTGTACGTGTGACGTTCGGCGCCGCTTTCCCGTAAGCCTAAAAGTTTGACAATGGTGTTTGGATAGTCGGTGGAATCACGCTCGACATTTCAAACACCATCGTCAAACTTTTAGGCTTACGGGAAAGCGGCGCCGAACGTCACACGTACACGTTTAAAATGTGCGCCTCAACCTCTCTATTTTTGAGAAAATTTGGATTGCAGTGAGCTGTTTTGATGATGTCTTGAACGTGATGAATGCATGCCTATTTTTGTTCCTCAGTGAATGAGTGTGGAACAAAGCGGGAACAGACCTTACATTTGTTCCAATGATTACATAAAAGTATGTGGACAGAGTCCTTTGACACTCTCAACTCCTCTGACAGCATTCTACAGGACACATTCAGATCCTTTCCTAATATTTGTTGCACTTTATCAATGTTACTGTCCATAGTCGATGTCTTCAGACGACCACTTTTCAGATCGTTTTCAATTGAATCCCGGCCATCTTTGAATTGATTAAACCAGTCATAAACTTGTGTTCAGCAGAGGCAATCATCCCCATATACTTGTTTTAGTAACAAACATTTTGGTAAAGTTTTCTTTAGTTTTATACAGAACTTAATTTTGGTATGTTCTTCCATTGGAATTTTCTGATGAGGGTCACAAAATAACTTACATTTTATGCCACATAATGAAATGTTATGAACTGATTCAAATGCTATTGCACACAATTGATAATTTAACATTCAAAATTTTGAATTTTACCATGAAAACTAGTAGTGCCATTTAGTTATATTTGTAGAGCAAAAGTTTGATTTCTTTTTAGATAACCTGTGTACTATCACAGTACAGTCTGAACAGATACAAAGTGCATTTCATCATATTCTTTTGAGGTTTTTGTGTGTTCTGTTGTGACTTTGATGTGTTATCACAAATATCATGTTTTGACTTTGAGCCATCTGTCTAGAGTCTCAACTGCATTCAACATGGTCTTGCCCAATCTCACTTTATTGTTGCTTTGTTAGAGGACACAACTTCTCCATCTACTGTCTGAAAATAATTGCAAAAGCTCACAAGAATGTGTATCTGAAAAATCTTATATATTTATATAGTGAGAAGTCTCTTAAAAATAAATAAATTCCTAAGAAAACTGATTTATGAACTACTATAATTTTAACTTTATTTACTGTGCTATTTAAAATAAAAATGAATATTTAATATATCTGAAGCAAATGATTATTGAAAATTTATTGAAGACAGTTATAATTGGCTTTAAGAGTAATTTACCTAATTGCTCAAGAGAAGTATTTGTAAGCACTCCTTTCTTAATCCTTTTTATAATAATGTGAATGTTTACTATTCCCAATTTTTTTATTTTTGATATAAGTTTATATCAAATGGGATGTCAATCATAAAGTTTTCATATTTAAAAATGCATTCATCATTACACATAGTGTACACACTAAATAATGCTTTTAGTTAAATCTGTTTTGTATTTGCACCATAAAAAATCAATTTTTCTGATTTATATTTGACTTGGTCATGCATATACAGATGTGTTGCAGATGTAAGCCTAATCATTTAAACTAGGAGTAGGTACAGTACACTTGTGTACCTACTCCTACTTTGTGTAAGATAAGGGCTATTTGTAATACAGGGTGTCCATAAATGTTTACCCTGATAACAAAACAATGTAACTCTTAATTGGATACAGTAAATGAAACATGTATTATACCACATATGCCTCTACTCGTTAAGTTTTGAACCTAAGCAAAATGTGAACAATTTGCCTGAACAATTTGGACCTTGTACGCATACAATTTAAGACGTTTACGAACCACTTTATGCATTGTACTCTTTAGCACTTGAAACTTCCGCAAAGCTTGTCTGATCGATTTCTGTGGCAACCTCGTGAATGCAGTTTGAACTGCCTGCACAGTCTCCTTCGAAACACATGGTCTGCCACTGCTTGTCCGTTTCTGAACCGACCCCATTGCTAAAAAAGTTTCCATCCATGTTTTGATTAACTTGACATCAGGTGCTTTCTTTCCATAATAGGACCTAAACTTTCGCTGCACAGTAATTGGTGATTTGGTTTCTGCTAGCCATACAACACATTGAGCTCTTTCCTGGGGGACATTTTATACAACTGTACAGAAACTTTATGGGTTTCCTAGTAGTTTACCTCAAAATTTGCTCATGTCTATGGGTGGGCCACAATTGACGTCTTACCCATGCCCAATTTAAAGAATGAAATGTAGCATTTTAGCCGTAAGCAACACTTTCATGTAACAGATGTCTGTGCTTTTCATATAAATTGGGTTTTACTTCTTTGCCAGTAAGAATGCTTTCATTATGAGAAACAACAGGAACAGAATAATCCTAATATTACCCTGAAAATTAATACTGATATTGACAAAATTTTCTTTATCAAATTTATCAATATTTTAATACTATTGATAAACCAACATCAGCACTTATTTGCTCTGTTTGGAGATTGAGGCTTAGCTGATGGACAGATTAACATATTTGAACTTTTCTCTGCTCCTGATAAATGATTGTGAATTGATAGGTTACTTAAATTTTGATTTGCATGCATAATTTGGCAAATTTTTCTTGGGATAAATTAGTTTTTTATTCATTTTCTGATTTGAATTTGCATTTCATAATTTGACAAGTAGCGGCTTAAACTCTGACCTGAAGATGATGATGATGATTAAGTGAAACTATTAAACAAAATGCTAATTTTGTTGACATTTGCAAACTGATAACATCCATGATTACAGTTAGTTGATTCTACTGTATTTATAAAATGTTTGCCTTATATTCACGTTATCAGAATTTTATTGTAGTCCTAATTAGAATTGTATTTTAAAATATTTACATCCTAATGCTATAAAAATACAGTTTAACCTGCTTATAACGTCATCCATGGAATTGGCAATTTTTTGACGTTATAACCGAGTGTCGTTATCTGCGGGGTCATAATTTCAGTTCCATAAAAGTATCAAGTCTGTTTAAGAATCTATTATAAAATTCATTAATTTAATATCATATGTATAAAAGTGCAAACTAAATATTTAAATCAACTTTATTTACATTATTATGTCTAAATTTACAACGATGTAATTAAAAATTTCAAAAATTATTTTTTATAAGAAATTTTTATTTGTCAAGTTTCGATAATGGCGGCACTTTCGGTTTTAACGCCTGGATGATAATTTTCTCGTTTCTTGCTTATCTATCAATGGACATGAAGTCCAATATATTTCACTTTTAGGTTAAATTAATGTATATCAATTAAAAAGAAACAATAAAAATATTCACTTAAAAAAAGTCAGTTATTTTAGATTGTAAACTACAACACGAGTATGAGAGCTATGCAGACTAACCCACTGTCACGTCGTTTAAAGGGGTGGCGCATCTCACCCCACCGAATCAGGTGGTGACAGTACCACCCACAATCGTTCTAGGAAGGGACTCTGACTGAACACGTAGTATTTTCTTTGATAAATAAAATTTATAATTTAATTTTGTAAATTTAAGAGTGCTTCAAATATGACGTTAAAACAGGGTTTTATGTCGTTACAAGTGGGTTTTTTAACATTATCTAGTATAGTAAAATCGTGGGACCGATAAAAATTTGACGTTATATTAGGGTTGTCGTTACA